ACTCAAATACAAAACAATTGGTTAGTTAATAATATAAACCTGGTAAGATTGGAGTTGGAGTGTGGCTCAGTAAGCTAAGTGTTTACAAATAATTTCTTTGAGAAAGTTTGAAAGTTAGGTCTGTTACTAGATCAGTGGGATATATTTGGACTTCAACCATACCACCTCATTTGAATTTCCATTCTGTGCATTTCTGTTTTAAAAATGCTTGTAGGCAAAAGGAGGTAGGTGGGGGGATGGGATATTGGGTAATGGGCATTAAGGAGGACACTTGATGTAAAGAGCATTGGGTCTTATATGCGACTGATGAATCATTAAATTCTGCCCCTGAAACTAATAATACACTATATGCTAACTAAATTGAATTTAAATAAAAGTGTTTAAAAAATAAAAACCATTGTAGGCAGATGTAATTTATAGAAATAGTGTGAGAAAGGAATATTTATACATCAAGTTAAATTAATAACACAGTTTCCCAATTGGCAAAGAAAAAACTACATTTAAAAATTGGGTTAAGATATAAATACAATTCATAGCCTAAGACTAAAACAAAAAAATCATCAAAGTATCATTTTTCTGGAATTTAAGAATTTATTAGAAACAGCAATATAGTTTTTTCTAGAACAGTAGTTCTCAGCTGGGGGCATTTTTGTCCTACAGGGGACATTTGGAAATGTCTGGGAACATTTTTTTTTTTTTTTGAAGACTTTATTTATTTGACAGAGAGAGACACAGTGAGAGAGGGAATACAAGCAGGGGGAGCAGGAGAGGGGGAAGCAGACTTCCTGCAGAGCAGGGAGCCCTATGCGGGGCTCGATCCCAGGACCCTGGGATCATGACCTTAGCCGAAGGCAGATGCTTAATGACTGAGCCACCCAGGCGCCCAGGGAACATATTTGATTGTCACAACTGGTGGGGGTGGTGGGAGTACTACTGGCATCTAGGTGGTAGAAACTAAGGATGCTACTAAACATCCCATAGTGCACAGTACAGCTCCCACAACAAAGAACTATCTGGCCCAAAATGTAAATATTGCCAAAGTTGAGAAATCCTGGTTTAAAAGATGGAGAAAATAGTTAATTTTACAAATGCACTTAAATTTGTGATTCATCATTTGCCAGCCTGTTTATAAAGTGATTTGTCATTATTAATTTTTTATTATTGAAAAAAAATTTAAAGATTGTATTTATTTGAGAGAGAGAGAGAGAGAGAGAGAGAATGAGAGAGAGAGCACGAGAGGGGGAGGGTCAGAGGGAGAAGCAGACTCCCCGTGGAGCAGGGAGCCCGATGCGGGACTCGATCCCAGGACTCCAGGATCATGACCTGAGCTGAAGGCAGTCGCTTGACCAACTGAGTCACCCAGGCGCCCTATTATTGAAGATTTTACATATTTATAAAGGTAGAATAGTATAATGAACCCTATGTTCCCATCACCCCACTTCAATTATTTTTCATGGCCAATTTTGACTTAATCTGTACCCTCTTCCCTCTCCTCTACTGAATTATACTGAAGCAGATCCAGATACATTATTTCATCTGTAAATATTTTAGTATGTATCCCAAAAGATAAGTGTTCTTTTTCTTAAACTTAATTATATCTTTACCAAACGTAAAAGCAATGATAATTAACAGTGATTTTAAAAAATTTAATTGTATTAAAAGTCTTGAGGTTAGGTGAAGAATAAAGAGAATAATATATTTTGTTCTCTAGTTATCTCATTCTGTAACCTTTCATTTTTTTTATCTGCATTAGGAGGCGAGCTCAAGATAGTATAGATTAGGGGTTGCAAACTATAGCCTGCAGGCCAAATACAGCCCTCCATTTATATTGCTAAGTATTATTGGAATACAGCACATCCATTCATTTATTTATTGTGTATGGCCACTTTCATGTTACAACTGCAGAATTGAATAGTTGTGACAGGAGACCGGGTGGTTGTAAACCTGAAATATTTACTTTCTGGTCCTTGACAGAAAAGTTTGCTGACCCCTAGTATAGAGGACTACTGCAGTTTTTTTTTCAGTTGACTTAAGCTTTTTTTTTTTTTTAAAGATTTTATTTATTTTATTTGAGAGAGAGAATGAGAGAGAGAGAGCACATGAGAGGGGGGAGGGTCAGACTCCCTGCTGAGCAGGGAGCCCGATGCGGGACTTGATCGAGGGACTCCAGGATCATGACCTGAGCCAAAGGCAGTCGCTTAACCAACTGAGCCACCCAGGCGCCCAACTTAAGCTGTTATTAAACTAAATTGGTGTATATTATATCTTTCTAATATGTGATATCAGATTACATTTTTTTCCTATTTCTTTTTCTTAGGGAAAACTCAGCTATTTTGGAAAGGTATCTCCATGTATGACCTACTGAGTACAGTAGGATTACATTGTTTACTCCTTAATGTATAGGTAAAGGCACTGAGGACTGTGAGATCTTAGGTGTGTTTTTATAGGTGAGCTAATTTTGGATCCTGCAGGGACTCAGTACTTTTTTTCCCCACTGATGAATTATAATAAGAAAGGTGTGGAGGACTGAATGAAAGACCAGTTTAAAAAAGTATGTCATTTACAAAAAAAGTTTTCAAATACAGTACAAATATATACTACAGTTGTCTACTGTTCAAATACAGTACAAATAATATAGTACTAAATTTATCATTTAAATTCAATGAAAACTGTTCTGAAGGTGAGGACTAATAGAGAACAATACTAAATTTTGTCAGAAAACCCACCTTATGGTATTGTTGCTGTCTAAAGTGATACTGGGCAAAAAGTTTAATTGGTATAAGCTTCAGTTTCCTTATCTATGATAGTAAAGGGTTGGCTGTGGAGTAAGGGAAACTCTATTTATAGTATACAATGACACCAAGGGAATCTAATGGTGTTACTGCCTTTGATTGTTTCTTTCCAACTGGCAGAAGGCAGAGAATATGGTTTCTTAAACAGATACTAATTCTGTCTGATTCTTATCTAGTAATGAAAACAAAGCTGTAGAAATATTTTATGTAAATGTAAAACTGAGAAGGAAAGGGCAAGTAGGCTTCAAGACTGGTCAGTTTAAGGAAATTCTCTTAAAAACAAGTCAGGACTCAAGATAGTAACCTCCAAAATGGCTCTAGGAATTGTTGTACATAGTTCCTGAGGATCGATGTTAATTCAGATTCTTAATGGAGGCTCCCCCACCTCTCTACACCCCCCAAAACTGGCACTATTAAGAATGTGGAGTGTCAACAAAAGATTAGATTTGTAAGACCCAGAAAACAGTCTTTTAAGTTGCCCTTTATAGGAAGGCAGACTAAAATCTGAGATTGCCCCAACAAAAAATGTCAAGCTTTAAAAGGAGACAGCCAGAGTTTTTGTCTTCCCTTACCTGCAAATTCTTTCAGTTGCTCAGGTTGAGTTTTACGAAATCATCACTGATTTGTTTTTTCATATCCCTCATCTGGTCCATCACTAAATCCTGTTGGCTATTTAGAATATAACCAGAATTTAAGCAGTTTTAACCTTCCTGCTGCTACCGCCCTGGTCCTCACATTTCTTCCCTCAGATATCCTCGTGGCTTTCTCTCTCACTCCCTTCAGCTATTTAATCAAACCCACCCTGGGAGGCCATCCTTTGGCTGTCCTACCTAATCCTTCTTAACTGCGGTATTTTTTCTTTGGCCTTTTTACTACCTAACATTTACATTTTATTTACTTATTTTGTTTATAATGTTCTGTCTCCCCTGCTAGAACGTAAACTCAATGAGGGTAGGAACTTTATTTTGCCCATTGCTGTATCTCTGGTGTCCAGAACAATACTGAGCTTGTAGTAGGCACCCAATAAATATTCAGTGACTCAAGCAGAATATACTACTTCCAAACAATTGTGTTGAAGTTTTAGTATGATTAGAATACCAGCATCTTGATGAATTAAATGAGTTTTAGGAAAAAGAAGATGAAGTACAATATTACTTATTATATTTAGGGATAATAAAATAGTTGAACTAATTTACTGAAAGTGTCAGCATGTTCAGGAAATGTTTAATTCCGTTGATGTTAAAAATCACAGTGGTTACTGAGAAGATTCTGGGAATATAGTGGGGTATGAAGTAGTAGAAATTCATCTCCCTGCCTAGATAACAACTGCACTGGCAGAATTCTTTCTGATGTAATTATTTTAGAACTCCGGATTCTGTTGAAATCTTGGTACGTCCAGGGGAGGGCACACATTATAATCAAACTTCCAAGAGCCAAGGCCAAAGAATCTTGAAAGCAACAAGAGTGGTGACTTGTCACTTAAAAGGGATCCTTGTAAGGTTTTCAGATTTCTCATCAGAAACTTTGGAGCCAGAAGACAGTGGTGGACTGATGTTTTCAAGGTGCTAAAAAGAAAAAAAAAACCCTATCAACCAAGAATCCTCTATCTAGCAAAACTCTCCTTCAAAAGTGACAGAGAAATTAAGACAGTCCCCAAAACTCAGGGAATTTGTTACCAGTAGACCTGTCTTGCAAGAAATTCCAAAGGAAGTCCTGCAGGTTGAAATGAAAAAATATTAGTAACCTGAAGCCATATGAGGAAGTAAAATCTCAATAAAAGTATAATATGTAGGCAGTTATAGAAGATAGCATTATTTTAATAGTGGTTTATAATTCTTCTTTTTGTTTCCCACATGATTTGAGATTAATACATTAAAAAATTACTAGTCTAAAATCTAGCATTATCATAACTTTGGTTTGTAAATCCACATTTTGTTTTCTATATAATTTAAGAAACTGATGGATTTTTAAAAATTATTAGTTTATGTTTTTGATTACACAATGTACAAAGTTGTAATTTTGTGATAACAGTAACTGAAAGGGTTGCGGATAGAGCTGTAAATGAGTTGTTTGTTTGTTTTTGTTTTTTAAGATTTTATTTATTTATTTGAGATAGAGAAAAAACACGAGCAGGGGGAGGGGGCAGAAGGAGGGGTGAGAAGCAGACTCCCCACTGAGCAAGGAGCCCAACACGGGGCTCGATCCCAGGACCCTGGGATCGTGACCTGAGTTAAAGGCAGACGCTTAATTGAGCCACCTAGGCGTCCCTGTGAATGAATTTTCAATTAGCAATAATTGCGCCACAGATAAACCTCACTGGCTACGATACTGCCACTGCGCAAAGCTTTTAAATGAATTTTTATATGTTATTGAAGTTAAGTAAAATGTTTTTTACTTCAAAATATCAACTAAATATAAAAGAGTAATGTAGGAAATGAGGCAACAAAAGCTATGTGGCATCTAGAGAACTTAGAGCAAAATGATAAGTTATTCCTTATCAATAATTACTTTAAATATAGGTGGATTAAACTATAAAAAGCGACTGGCAGAAGGGATTAAAAAATGGTCTAATATATTCTGTATATAGGAGACTCACTTTAGATGCATAGATACAAATAGATTTAAAGTGAAAGGATGGGAAAAGATATTAATGCATATAGTAACCAAAAAAGGGCAGGGATAGCTATACTAATTTTAGACAAAATAGACTTTAAATCATGAAGGTTGTAAGAGACTAAGCACATTGTATATTAATAAAAAGTACAATACAGCACGAAGATATAACAATTATAAATATTTATATACTTAATAATAGACTATACAAACATATGAAAAAAATTAACAGAAGTGAAGGGAAAAAGACATTTTTATAATACTAGTTTGAGACTTCAGTATCCTATTCTCAATAATGTATAGAAAACAAGATAGAAGACAAGTAAAGAAATATGAGGACATGAACAACACAATAAAGCCAACTAGAGCTAACAGACATGTACAGAACACTACCTAACAACAGCATATACATTCTTCTCAAGTGCACCTCGTGTATTCTTTGAGGTAGACTGTATGTTAAGTCACAAATTAAGTCTCAATAGATTTAAAAAGGTAGATGTCTTACAAAGTATTTTCTTTGACACTTTGATGAAGTTAAAAATAAATAATGGAAGAAAAACTGGAAGATTCACACATTTGTGGAAATTAAATAACATTTTTAAGCAATGAATGGATTAAAGAAATTGTGAGGGAAATAAGACAATACTTAGAGATGAATGAAAACAAAAGCAAAACATACTAAAACCTGTGGGATGTAGTGAAAGCAGTGCTAAGGGGGAAATTTATAGCTATAAATGCTTACATTTAAAAAAATTGATCACAAATCAGCCTAATTTCACAACTTAAGGAACTAGAAAAAAATTATATTCAAAGATAGCAGAAGGAATGAAATAATAAATATTTGAGCAGAGATAAATAATAGAAAAGCAGTAGAGAAAAATCAGTGAAACCACAAGTTGGTTCTTTGATCAGCAGAACTGATAAATGTTTATTTAGCTAGATTGAGTAAGAAAAAACACTCAAAATTATTAAAATTGGAAATGAAAGTGGGGACATTACTACCAATTCTACAGAAAAGGAAAGGTTTATAAGAAAGTACCGTAAACAGTTATATGACAACAAATGAGATAACCTAGATGAACTAGACAAATACCTAGAAACACAAAACCTACTAAGACTGAATCATGAAAATTCAGGAAATCTGAATATACCTATAACTAGTAAGAAGATTGAATCAGTAATAAAAGATCTCCTGACAGGGGCGCCTGGGTGGCTCAGTTGTTAAGTGTCTGTCTTCCACTCAGGTCCAAATCGCAGGGTCCTGGGATGGAGCCCCACATCGGGCTCCCTGCTCGGCAGGAAGCCTGCTTCTCCCTCTCCCACTCCCCCTGCTTGTGTTCCCCTCTCGCTGTGTCTCTCTCTGTCAAATAAATAAAATCTTAAAAAAAAAAATCTCTAAAGAAAAGCCCTTGACCTGATTGATTCACTGATGAATTCTACCAAACATTTAAAGAAGAACTAGCACCATTTTTTTTTTTTTTTGTGAATAAAGTGATAGAGTTTTATTAAGTGAGGATACAGAAAAAGCTCTCAGGAATGGGGGGGGTGTCGTCCCAACAGGCTTGCCCCTAAAACCATTTGTTCTCAAATTTTTCCAAAATAACATAGAGAACACTTACTGACTCATTCTATGAAGCCAGCATTACCCTAATATCACAGCCAGACAAAGATAGTATAAGAAAACTATGAACCAGTATCCCTTGTGAATATTGATTCAAAATTCCTCAATAAAATACTAACAAACCATATTCAGCATATTAAAAGGGTTATACACCATGACCAAGTTGGATTTATTCTTGGAATGAAGGATGGTTTAGCATACATAAATTGATCAGTGTGATATATACCACATTAACAGAATGAAGGGGAAAAACTATGTGACCATCGCAATTGATGTAGAAAAAGCATTTGATTAAATTCAGTACCCTTTTATGATTAAAAAAACAGCAAACTAGGAATAGAAGGAAACTACCCTGACATACTAAAAACCATATGTGAAAAACTGAAAACTTTCCTCTCGGATCAAGAAAAAGATAAGGATGCTCACTTTTCCACTCATATTCAGCGTGGTACTGGAAGTCCTAGCCAGAGTAATTAGGCAAGAAAAAGAAATAAAAGGCATTCACATTGGAAAGGAAGAAGTAAAATTATCTCTGCAGATTATATGATCCTATATGTAGAAAACCATAAAGTTCTACACAAAAAACTTTAAGAACTAATTAAGATATTCAGCAAAGTAGCAAAACACAAAATCTAGTTTCATTTCTGTACATTAACAGTCAACAATCAATAGAGGATATTAAGAAAACAACTCCATTTATAATAGCATCAAAAATAAAAAAAATACTTAGGAATTAATTTAACTGAAGAGGTGAAAGACTTGTACAGTGAAAACTATGAAACTCTGCTGAAAGAAATTAAAGAAGATACAAGTAAGTGGAAGCATATTTCATGTTCATGGATTGGAAGAATTTGTATTGTTATGATATCAAAACTGTCCAAACTGATGTTTTTTGCAGAAATGGAAAAATCCATCCTACAATTCAGTATGTCATCTCAAGGTACCCCCAAATAGCCAAAACCATGTTGAATAAGAATAACAAATTTGGAAGACTAAATTCTTCCTGATTTCAAAACTTACTACTAAGCTACAATAATCAAAACAGTGTGGTACTGGCATAAATACAGATATATAAACCAATGGAATGGAATAGAGTCCAGTAACAAATCCTTGAATACATGGTCAAATAATTTTTGACAAGGGTGCCAACGCCGTTCAGTGGGGAAAGGACAGTTTTTTCAATAAATGGTACTGGGAAAACAGGGTATCTATGTACCAAAGAATGAAGTTGGACCCTTACCTAACATTGTCTATGGAAATTAACTAAATAGGTCAAAGACCGGAAATGTGAAAGCTTGGAAGAAAACAGGCCAAAGCTCCCAGCATTGGATTTGGCAATGATTTGTTGGGTATGACACTGAAGGCACAGGCAACAAAAGAAGAAATAGACAAATTGAACTTCATGAAAATTAAAATCTTCTGTGCACCAAAGTATACTATCAACCATGAAAAGGCAACTTACAGAATGTGGGACAATACTGGCAAATTGTATGTCTGATAATGGGGTTGATATCCAGAATATATGTAGAATTCTTAAAACTCAGCAACTGCAAAAAATCTGATTCACAACTGGGCAAGGGACTTGAGTAGACATTTCTCCAGAGAATATATGTAAATGGTTCATAAGCACATGAAAAGATGCTAAACGTCACAGATCATTAGGGAAATGCAAATCAAAACCATAATGAGATACCACCTCACACCTAGTCAGATGGCTACTATCAAAACAAAACAAAACAGGGACGCCTCGGTGGCTCAGTCAGTTAAGCGGTTGCCTCCGGCTCAGGTCATGATCCCAGGCTCCTGGGATCGAGTTCCACATGGGCCTCCCTGCTCAGCGGGGAGCCTGCTTCTCCCTCTGTCCCCCCCCCCACCCTTGTGCTGCTCTCTCTCTCTCTGACAAATAAATAAATCTTTAAAGACAAAACAAAACAAAAAGTGTTGGTGAGGATGTGGAGAAATTGGAACCCTTCTGGACTATTGGTGGGAATGTAAAATGGTATACCTACTGTGGAAAACAGTATGGAGGTTTGTTAAAAATGGAATTACTGTATGATCCAGCAATTGCATTTCTGAATTATATACCCCAAAGAGTTGAAACTAGGGTCTTAAAGAGATATTTTTACACCCATGTTCATAGCATTATTCACAGTAATTAAAACTTGGAAACAACCCAAGGGTCCATGATGTATGAATGACTAAACAGAATGTGGTATATACATAAAATGGAATATTATTTAGTCTTAAAAAGGAAGGAAATTCTGATTCATGCTACAATAGAGATTAACCTGTTGAGGACATGATGCCAATTGCAAAAATGCAAATACTGTATGCTTCCATTTATATGAAATACCTAGAGTAGTCAAAAATCATAGAGTCAGAAAGTATAATGATGGTTTCCAGGAGTTGGGGAGAGGGACAATGGAGAATTATTGTGTGAAATGTGTAGTTTTAGTTTTGTAAAATGAGTTCTGGAGATGGTGGTGATGGGTGCATAACAGTATGAATGTGTTTAATATCATTGAACTTTACACTTAAAAATGGTTAAGATGGTAAATTTTATGTTACTTGTATTTTGCCACAGTAAAAAAATCATTTAAAAAACGTAATTAAGGGGACGCCTGGGTGGCTTAGTCAATTAAGCGTCTGCCTTCGGCTCAGGTCATAATTCCAGGTCCTGGGATCGAGCCCCGCATCGGGCTCTCTGCTCAACGGGAAGCCTGCTTCTCCCTCTCCCACGCTCCCTGCTTGTGTTCCCTCTCTCGCTGTGTCTCTCTCTGTCAAATAAATAAATAAAATCTTAAAAAAAAAACATAATTAAGGCATATTAAAGATTCAACTCAATACCCATTTTGGTTCTTACTAGCTCGTAGGCACTGTGGTGCATCCTGGGAATAAAGATGATGAAGATACAGTTGTAGCCCCCAATATGCTCAAAGTCAAAGAAGTGTACTTGGAAACAAATAATTATACTATAGTGTGATAATAAAAGAGAATTTTGTGAGAGGGGAGGTTTCAGAGGGTAGAGGTTGGTTGCCTGAGTTGAGTTGTAAAGGATGTCTATTCTAAGCCAAAAGGTGATGAATAAGAGCATTGAAGTCTGGAGTCAAAT